AATATATAAAACTTAATTTATGGCAGAAAAAGTAGCACAAAAATTTGATAGGTCAAAACCTCACATAAGCATTGGCGGGATTGGTCATGTTGACCATGGCAAAACAACCCTTATCGCCGCAATAACTAAATACTTAGCAGAAAAAGGACAAGCAAAGTTCAAAGATTATGGGGAAATTGATAAAGCTCCGGAAGAAAAGGCACGCGGGATAACCATCAGTACTTCTCACGTTGAATTTGAAACTGATAAACGTCATTATACCTGAATTGATTGTCCGGGTCATCAAGATTACATTAAAAATATGATTACTGGTGCCGCCCAAATGGACGGAGCAATTGTCGTAGTAGCCGCCAGTGATAGTGTAATGGAACAAACTAAGGAACATTTACTCTTAGCAAAACAAGTAGGAGTAAAATATCTCGTAGTATTTATTAATAAAGCAGATGTGAGCGATCCCGAGACCATGGAATTAACTGAAATGGACATTCGTGAAAATTTAGCCAAATACGGCTATGATAAAGATAAAACTCCAATAATCAAAGGTTCAGCTCTTTGTGCTCTAGAAGGACGCAATCCAGAAATCGGAAAGGAGGCTATGGCTAAATTGTTGGAGGCAGTTGATAATTATATCCCTACTCCGCAGCGAAACCTGGATGCTCCTTTTAAAATGTATATTGAGGACGCATTTACCATTTCCGGACGGGGAACTGTGGTAACTGGAAAAGTGAAACAAGGAACCTTAAAAAAGGGTGAAGAAGTAGAAATATCGGGTCTAGGCGACAAGGTCATCAAGTCAGTCGTTATTGGTATAGAAATGTTTCATAAGGAATTGGATGAAGCCCAAGCGGGTGATGATATAGGAGTTAATTTACGAGGAGTTAAAATTTCTACACCAAAACAACCTGATGGTGTAAAAAAAGGGCAACTTCTTTCTAAACCAAGCAAGACCAAAGAAAGTAAACCCTATAAAAAATTCTTGGCCGCGGCTTATATATTAACCAAAGAAGAAAGAGG